AGGATCTACAACGTGCGTTCCATCGGTCCTATTTAGGATTCGTCATCTGGATGCAACTGCATCCCCAATGTGTGATACAGCTCTCACACGAAGTGCACACCCTAAGTTCCATCGCTAGCTACCTAAGTAACTTCATATTTATCTAAAGATACCGTCGGAACGTCCATACTAGGAGCCTACGTGTCAACTTAGACGGAGTAAGGTGAAGTTGGTGGGACTGGAACTTATTGTGTATAAATCAAGGGTCTAAACCAATAGGCCATAACTCCATCTGTTGTCAACATACGAAGATTCATACATCTCAAAGAAACGAGATCACTTGAATACTCTTAATATATATGTGTGTATATTAATGACAACATGCAAGTCAAATATGCACAAGGTAATGACAACACCAACAATAAGGAATCTAAATCATCAGTAGTAATTCCATACAAAAAAGGAACCTCAGAAACCACCTTACGCAGAATTCTTAACAATACAGGCAGGAATAAAAGTGGCTGGCATTCAACCCCCCCCCCCACAAACTCAATCAGAAACAAGCTTTGTCGGTTAAAGGATCAATCCTGTAGAGCTTTTAAAACAAAACAATTTAGTTTATCTAATACCCTGCCTGAGATGATTGTCAGGTCAAATACATAGATCAAACTAGTAGAACAGGGGCAGTCAGACTAGTCGAACATAAAAACCTAGCAAAATCTAGATTGGTTGACCTGAATAAGATAAGAAATCTAGAGAATAGTTCAGCAATAGCACTACATGCAGTTACACACAACCATACAATAGGATGGGATAGAATGACAGTTTTAAAATCTAATGTAACAGCGTGGTGGAGGGAGAGATTGATAACAGAAGCTTTGTTTATCGAATCAACTGCAAACCAACACGTGTAATGGGGATGATTCAACACCTGTCCCAGATATCTGGCGAATTCTACTACCCCTACGATGACAAATAGGAGAGGACAAAGAAAACTACAAATTCAAGTTTCAGTCGTGTGATTATAAGTGATGAAATCATTATGACTGATCCCACCCACGAAGATAAGTAATTTAGAAAAAGGAACTCAGCACTCCATGCATTAACACAACCACACAATAGGGTGGGAGATGGTTAAAATTCTAAGATGTAATATAGTTGGGGGAGAGATAGACAGAGATTGATTACTGAATCCTGCCTGGTTCATCGCATAATCTACACCAAACACATGCAACAGAGATGATTCATCATCGCTAATACCAAAGATATGGAAGATATCCAGTCAAATCACAGGATAATATATAATCTTAAAATGTATTCAATTCACATCATAACATTCTAACAAGTTACTTATTATGACTATAAAGACATCTTATTTCCCATCTTATTGAACAACAACAGTCGTCTTAATTCCCATCGTATTATATTTATTGATAACACTAATAGTGGTTCCGAATGTACGTTATCTTCCATTCTGTTTCACGGAAGTTTTATATTGATTTTATTCAAATGTTTAATCAATTTTTACTCATGTATCTAAATGAAGCAAGAAAGTTGTATGAGCGACATGATATGATTATGAGCTGCCATAAATTGTGCTCGAAACGTGGTCATCAGTTATTATTACTGTACAACACTGTGGCTTATCAAAATAAAATCTTCTCCATAATGGAGTTGTACCCTACCACAGTGCCCAAGTTTTATACTTATGGGGATTTTATTGCCAAATTAATGTGAAATGAACTAAAATTTTGATCTACTAAAATTAACTCCGCGTCGGCGGTTCAGCGGTAGAATGCCTGCCAACTACGCAACAAGTGGTCCGATCTTGAATTCCCAGCCGATTCACTTCTAAACTTAACCTATCCGATCCCTCGTACTCTCTCTCCCCTAATCTTTTTGAACATGACCTGAGAAACATTCGCACCTGTCTTTCTGCATGACTAATTCAATGCAGTTTGTTTACTTATCAGTCTTACGTATCTCCGAATTTAATTTCAAAAGTAAATATATATCCGTGTATGTAGAGTATTCAGCTGACGAGTAGTTCTACCGAAATTTGATGAATCCATCATTAAATCCTGCTTTATTAACCTTTATTGCTTGTTTTAAATTCGCATCGGGAAATAAATGTTTTCAATTCATTAGATATTACCTTCTAATTACCATTTCACCAGTAATACATACGCATCAATCCTCACAAATGAACAACTGACCCGACGATTTCAGTTTTCCTTATTCGGTGATTTTGTCAGACGCATATTGGAGGATAGTGTTTTAATGTCCTACAATCTACCACCCTCTGCCTGTAACTGCTAAGAGTTAGTTGATCTTAGCCTTTTGCTATATACGACTATACATGCATAGCCTCCATAAGGAGGGAAAATTCGACTCACTAACTTCAAACAGAGTAAGGTAATCTCACAAAACGTGGGAGAGACAAAAACCAGATGTTTGGTTCTCATCAGACAAGTGAACAGCCTTAAGAAGATACTGGAAATCTCTGATTCCAGACCATTGAAGCACATAAGCCAAAGGATTCAAAAGCTGAACAGCCAAAGAACCTGTTTCGACCAATGGAAATAGTGAAAAGGTAGCTAATGACGTTATTCTACTACCATACACTCACTAAACAAAATCTGTCTCGACTTGAGTGTCCAGGGGGTATGTCAGCACCTGTGTTGTTCTTACAGAGTGAGGTTGCTAGACACACGATAGCCCGACCCACCCTTTTTACTGGGCTTATGCCAGTCAGGAATCGAACCCGGACCACTTGTGGCGTGATTGACGAGTATATTCTACCCCTTAACCACTGACGCACAACTCAACAACATCTTCGGGAGTAATCAATTGTACTGCATTGCGGACCTTATATTCGACATTTTCTCATTATGCCTTTCTTGTATTCGTTTTTATTCTAAGCAGAGATACTCGTCACCGCTTGAAATCCTAGTCCATCTACACACTTTTTTGAGAGATCCTATACAGTAGATTTCATAAAACTGCCTCTCCAGTACGATAACTGCTAACACACGTATTCTGATAACGGTGATTTGTTGAAAACTGCCGCGCTTACAACACTTTGATGACAACGAAGTATTCTACGGATTTGGCCTACACAGTTTGACTAAGCAAATCTTGAAATAATCACATCGAAAATATTGCCTACAAAGCAGTAAGGTTAGGGATGCACTGATGACCCAATTGCTTAAACATTGTCACACCTACCACTAACGAAAAAATCTGCTTACCTGGATAATTAGGACTGTCATCGATTCCTTAGACGGACAGGATTACTCATTGAAATTAACTGTTAAAGAAAAGTGTCCAGGAGGTTATCAATATCTCCAAAGCCCTACACAAAATCATCTCAGGTAGACTGACACAGTATCTATCATAATTATTATAAACCCACATTATGATCATTCCTGTCTAACAAACTTTACTCTACAGAACATCCTGGAGATAGCTGCGAGGGAGATGAGTTGTGATGTACGCATGTGTAGATGACACCATTATTTTACTGAGATAACACTGTGGTCACACACTTAGATCTCATCCAATTAACTACAGCGGTGTCGGAAGGCATGGCATAAACGGAGGTGTGTATATTCAGGAAAAGTGGAAATCGTCAGGATGTTACCCTGAGACACCAGTGTTTTGAAAGTATTATAAATAACTGTTTGCAAACCATGGGAACTGTTGAGGAAGGTAGTCAGCCCATTATATAGTACCATCGGTTAACAGATAGCTGAGTTCGTCCAGACTTTTTAAACACAACGTGAGTTTGCGTAGTGTCCAAAAGGTTATACGACTCAAATGTAATCATGTTACTGTTCCTTAATGGATGGCGACTAACAGCTGAATCCGGACTACGCATTTCGTCAGATGGATAAACCTGCAGCCCCCAGTGCGTGAGGATGTTCCCACTGGGACTCGAACCTACAGCCCCTCGTTCCAAACGCCAAAGTGTTATCCCAACTAAGCCATTTGGGCCACAAAAACCACCTCTTGTGCAACGCGTATCAGATATTATTTCTCCAAGTTAATTCTATATTTTCCGTTACCCTGATTATATTCGACCCAAATATTCAGTCTCTGTCGACATATGCTGACGAGTCCAATATAGGACGAAATGAGCATCCTCAACTTCACTGCTAGTCAATATCTAGCAAAATAAATTCACACTAATCCTCACACATCGTCGAAGTACTCGTACTAGAAGCCAACATGTCCATGGAGGCCGAACACTTCAGGAAAATTAAAATTGATTTTCATGGAGTAGCCCAAATGATCTGGTGAACGAAACATTGAAGTCCAATCAGGTTATCATGCCAGCGCATACATAAATCATGGCTTCACCAATAACAAAGAGACTTTGATGTATACAAGTCGGTCGGTCGGTCGGTTTTCGACATAGAACTTTGCACATATGTGCGGCAGTTCAAGTCACCACACTCCATGTACCACACAAAGCAAGAGAAGAAAGTAGGAGAAATGCATAAAATAGACAGAAAGTTGAGGAGTGAGACAAAGGAATAGTAATTACGAAGAACAAAACAGTTTCATTGGAAATCATAAGTCACAAGGAGTGGATGCATCTGCGACATTGAGAACGATTTTGAGCCATATCATCAATTGTTTCCAACCATTGGTTTTTACCGTCCCGAGGACACCAACCAGTCAGGAAGTCTACACCTTCCTACGTGGCTTAGACTAACTGTTGTAGATTTCATTGACTGGTGCCATGTTTTTGTTTGACTGCCGCTAGCTCTTTTCCAGCCTGGCCCTATATCAGCTAACATTGCCCATTGTCGAGGAAGGCGATGACTAGGGATGCATACGTAACACATGTCCTAACCATCTCAGTCGATGTAATTTCACAGTCTCGTCAACTGACTTCCAAAAGCACACGAAGCCTACCTGATGTATACAAGCCTTTTTCCAAACACACACACACACAAATCACTCAACATTGCATGAAATGAACTAATGCATGCGAAGAATATACAGCAAAAGAATGAAAGGCTATTCACAACTCATATATTTATTATCTGTGAAATCAGAGAAAGAAAGAAAGAAGGTGAAAAATACAAATACCGATTAATCCTGACGTGTTAGAAAATAATTTGGATAGAAACGTAGGCCAGCTTCACTATCATCTCGACAGATAAGACCAGCTTCTTCAACAGCTAATAGTCTTGCTTTAGCTAGAAATGGTGAAAGATTTGAGGCACGCGCTAGTTCATCTGCTGTCAAGCTGACACGTTCTTCAACTAATTCTGCAGTGGATTTCAACGTTTCAGCTTCATCCTCTGAAGCTAATTGGAGAACCTAGATTTAGAAGAAAATAAAAGGAATAAATATGCCAATAAATAATAATATAGAAGAAATAAATGAAATTACAAAGAATTAGATGTTTGAAGGCAATTGGCAGGTAGCTGTGTATATGATTTAGGCCTCGTGTTTGTTGCCACTCGTTTATCTCAGCAAGGTGAGTCGGTGGCACAGCGGTAGAATACTCGTCAGCCATGCAGGTGGTCCGGGGTTCGATCCCCGGCCACTGGAGGGGAGGGATTAGCTTGACTAATATGCTATCTAAAGTTCAAGGCTCAATAATAATGCGTAGATTAAGTGGTGCCCGGGAGGCACAAACACGAGAGAACCACGCAGGCTTTAGACCAGGAAGAGGGTTATTGATCATATCTTAGCCCTTCAACAGATTCTGGAACACAGGCATTCTTACTGGCGTCCAATAATCGTTATATTTCTTAACCTAATGGCGGGATTCGATCCTGACGACCGAGAGGTATTCTGGTGGTTTGGTTGTGAAGGGAATGCCGAGAAAATACATTGCACTGATCAAAGCATTCTACTCGAACTCATTTAGTTAGGCACGTGAGGAATTACGGCGAGTGGTCATCTGAAATGGTGACGACTAGTGGCGTCCGTCAAGGATGCCCATTATCCCCATTCCTATTCAACTTCATCATAGACGTACTAATGGACTTAACCCTAACTCACTTCAGAGACTCAGAGATTGACTTGCTACCAGGGAATAATCTCGTTGACTTGGAATATGAAGACGATATAGTCCTTCTAGGCGAGGACGCTGACAAATCTTCTGAACACCTTGAGCAGCAATCTACGAATGTTTGGCATGCGATTCGCCCCTGTAAAATGTAAGATGATGCTGCAGGATTGGACTTCACCGACCCCTAGATTAGAAATAGGAAGTGAAGTGGTAGAGCACGTTGACCGCTTCAATTACTTGGGAAGTACCATCAGCCCCAACGGGTTGATCGCTGACGAAATCTCAGCACGAATACAGAGGGCTAGTTTCGCATATGCCAGTTAACACCGTCTCTGGCGTAGACGTGATATCCGGCTGACTGTCGACCAAAGGGCGTGTGTACTGCTCATCAGTCCGCTCCCTCCTCCATTATGATTGAGTGAGACAAGGCCATTGAGAGAGGAAGACATGAAAAGATTAGCTGTCTCTGATCAAAGGTGTCTAAGTTGTATCTCCCGTGTGAAGTGGTATGATAAGGTGAGCAATATTGAGGTTAGGCGTCGAGTGCTAGGTAAGGAGGGGAAATCAATCGACGAGCCTGTGAAGTTAAATCGATTGAGATAGTTAGGACATGTGTTACGCATACCTGTCTAGCTATGGCCTCCCTTCACGGACAGTGTTAGCTGACATAGGGTCAGGTTGGAAATAAATTAGCCAGTGGTGTTCAAACGAAAACATGGCTTCATCAGTCAATGAAATCCACAACAGTTAGTTTAAGCCACGTAGGAAGGTTGGGATCCTCAGGACAGTAAAAACCAATGGCTGGAAACAATTGGTGATATGGCTCAAACTCATCATTCTCAATGGCTGGTGCAGATGCATCCACTCCTTGTGACTTATAATTTCCAATGAAACTATATTATTCTTCGTTATTACTGTTCCTTTTGTCTCATATCCCTGTCTACTGTCTCTATTATGCATTTCTTCTACTTTCTTTTCTTGCTTTGTGTGCTACACAGAGTGTGGCGACTTGAACTGCTGCACATATGTGCAAAGTTCTATGTCGAAAACAGAAAGACAGACCCCGGCCACTGACGCACTCCTTTACCTCGCTAAACCAGTAATAAGACCGGTAAAGAGGGAAGGTTGGGCATGAGGTGGCTGGCAGCGACCTCATCCCGTAAAAATAAACACCACTGCTACTGAAACTTCAAGCCTCTAGCTTGAAGCCCTATGTTCCACTGGGAATATAAAGGAATAAAAAGAAAGGAGCTAATAAAATAAAGACAAAAATGTTAAATAGATCAATGTTTATCCTCCTAAGGCCTCTATGGCATCTCGAGGACCCCAACCAGGAAGCCTACACCTCCCCGACGTGGCTAGAAATAACTGTCAAAGATTTTATGGACTCATTCCAAGTTCTTGTTTCCAACTTGATCCTATGTCAGCTACCAATGTTCATCAAGGAAGACGATGGCTAGGAATGTGCAACAACACATGTCCTAGCCATCTCAAACGATTCATTTCCCTTCTAAACTCAATATTACTCATTACGCTACGTGCTATATATACTACCTAAAACGGGAGATACAACGCAAACATCTGCGATCAAACACACCTAGCCTTTTCATATCTTCTACTTTCAATGACCATATCTCACAACCATAGAGAAGGACAGAGCGAACTAGTGCTACTGTGCAGTACACACGTCCTTTGATTGATAGTCAGCCGGATATCACGTCTACACCAGAGATGGTATAAGTTGGCAAATGGCAACACAGACCTTTTGTATCCGTCCTGAGATTTCGTTCCCAATCAGTCCCGTTGGTGCTGATGTAACTTCTCAAATAAGTGAAGTGGTCAACAAGCTCTACAACTCCACTCCCCATCCTCAGGTTAGGAGTCGGTGTAATCCACTCCTGAAGCATCATCACCTTACATTTAACGGGAGCGAATCGTATTTTCTTCAGCATCTTCACCTAGGAGAACAATATCATCTGCAGTCGAAAAGACTCCTCTCTGTTGAAGTGACATTAACAACGAGCCTGAATTCTAATCTGTCTGTCTGTTTTCGACATAGAACTTTGCACATATGTGCGGCAGTTCAAGTCGCCACACTCCCTCCGTGTAGCACACAAAGCAAGAGAAGAAAGTAGAAGAAATGCATTTTAGAGACACTAAACAGAGGTGTGAGACAAAGGTATAATAATAGTGAAGAACAAAACAGTTTAATTGGAAATCATAAGTCACAAGGAGTGGATACATCTGCACCAGCTATTAAGAACCATTTTGAGCCATGTCACCAAATGTTTCCAACCATCGGTTTTTACCGTCCCGAGGACCCCAACCAATCAGGAAATCTACACCTTCCTACGTGGCTTAGACTAACTGTTGTAGATTTCATTGACTGATGAAGCCATGTTTTGGTTTGGCCGCCGCTAGCTCTTTTCTAGCCTGACCCTATATCAGCTAACATTGCCCGTCTGTCGAGGAAGGCGATGACTAGGCATACGTAACATATGTCCTAACCATCTCAGTCGATGTAATTTCACAGTCTCTTCGACTGATTTCCCCTCCGACCTACCTAGCACTGGACCGATTCCTAACCTCAATATTGCTTACCGTATTATACCACTTAATAATAATAATAATAATTTGCTTTATTCCAAAACAGTACATGTGATACAGAATGGAATTCTCAGCATTTTTACTACAGTATTGCATCCACTTAGTACATTATCAATAAATAGAATTCTACATATATTAAGGAAATCTCAGTTCATTATTACAACAACATATTGGCATGTCGGTAGCAAAGCCAAAGTTGAACAGTGTTTGAAGGTGTTAGAAAAGTAGGTGCTATCATATTTACTGGCGTAAGCGGAAGAAAGAAACAAAGCAGCACATAACGGAAAAAAGAGAGGAGAGAGAAAAGGAAAAGAAAGAAAGAAAATGTTGTACCTATAAATGATATGAGTTGGAAAGACGAGGTCCAGTTGTTCTACTGACTATTTAATGAATTATAGGTGTCACGCCTAATGCTTTCTTTATTGCACAGAACACGAGCTAAGTAGGGTATGGTTGAGTTTTATTACTTGCTGGTGCGAGCATATAGTTTTCTCTATAGGCTTCTGCTTCTGCCTGATGAGATGCAGGGGGAGAGTTGTGAGTGAAGAGGGTGGTGTGGGTTAGATAAAATGGATTTGGCCCATTTCTCACATGAGTCCAAGTGCCTGCCAACCAGAATATTAACGAGCTGGTTAAGTGGCATATTGCTTACCCTGCTAACAACCTTTAACACCCTACGTAATAAGATATAGTCTTTCTTCAGTAGCCCTGGAAAAACTAAGGGGGAACAATAGAGAATAATAGGCAGAATGCGAGAATTAACGAATTGTAGGAGTAAGGGTTGGGTTATACTAGAATGTTTTAACTTCTTAATGTAGAAGGTAAGAAGGAATATTTTCTTAGAAATTGCTAGGATATGAGACGACCAGGAGAGATCAGCAGATAGAATGATGCCTAGGCATTTAATTTCCGATTTGGTTTCTATTTCAGTGCCGTCTATGTTGCATACCTCGTGAGAGCCAACCAGTTTGTTTAGGTCGGATTTATGCCTGAAGGTGAAATTGACTGTTTGGCATTTGGAGGGATAGAACGCAGGCACCTATGATCAAAGACTGCTAGTCTTTTTATGTCTTCGACTTTCAATGGCCATATCTCGCTCACAGCCATAAAGGAGGACGGAGCGGACTGTTGAGCAGTACACACGCCCTTTGGTCGACAGTCAGCCGGATATCACGTCTACGCCAGAGACGGCGTAAACTGGCATATGCAAAACTAGCCCTCTGTATCCGTGCTGAGATTTCGTCAGAGATCAACCCGTTGGCACTGGCTGATGCGACTTCCCAAATAAGTGAAGCGGTCAACGTGCTCTACCACTTCACTTCATATTTCTAATCTAGGGGTCGGTGTAGTCCAATCCTGCAACATCATCTTACATTTTACAGGGGCGAATCGCATGCCAAACATACGAAGATTGCTGCTCAATATATATTACCTCAGTCACAATATTAATATAATAATAATAACTTACTAAAAGTCCATTCGCATAACACTTCAATCGTATCGGTAGACTTTCTTTCTCTAATTGTCGACAAGCCCGAAGTAGATCATCCGGTGATATTAAATCCATTCCACGTGCACGATTTATGCGGCAATATGCAGTGGCCAAGTCCATACACCCCTGTTCTTTTAATAATGGATGCAGTAAATTTGATAATTGTTGAGCTAACTGAACATAAAATTTAGTTGTACTGCTCGATGCTGAAGTTGACGAGGATACTGATGCTGATGATGCTGTTGCTGCTTTCTCGTCACTGACAACACCACTTTCATTGTCTACAACACCCATTGCCAGCATGGTTGAGCGTAATTCAGCTATCTCATTTGCTGAGAATTCATTACTCTGTGTAAAATAGAAAAATAGAAAAAAAAATTTCAGGTTTTTCTTTGTAGGGATATGATTGATTTGCAAGTTTGAGCACGGATTAATATCAGTTAGAAAGTCATTGAAAACCAGCAGGGAGTACGTACTGAACAGCTCGCTGTTTCATCCTTGTTTGTTTGAGACTCTCTTCATCAGTACACACCGATAACCACATCCCAACAGACAGCAAACCCACGACCGTCAGGTTACACAGAGGGCTCGTTGACTATTAATTCAGTCACTGAGATAGAACACTTACCTCCTTCAATTTCCGATGTATAACGCGAATCGACACTTGGAAATTAATCCTAGTGGACGAAGTTAAAGTATCATAGCCAAAGAGCCAAAGTCTATCAAAAACCTATCAAAACCTAGCTTATTATACCGATATTCAAGAAGGGAGACAAGTCCTCATATGATAATCATAAGGGGATCAGCCTAACGAACAGTTTCTAAAATCCTAGGCTCAGTAATCATGAACAGACTAAACAGAACTCGGGAGGAACAAACGAGGGAAAATCAAGCGGGCTTTAGGCCAGGTAGAGGGTGCATAGATCATATTTTCACTCTCCGACAGATCCTAGAACATAGACACACTTTTACGCGTCCAACAATTGCCATATTTCTTGACTTGAAGGCGGCCTTTGATTCCGCGGTTCGAAAGGTACTACTGGCAATGTTTGACTGTGAAGGGAGTGCCAAAAAAGTACATTGCACTAATCAAGGCACTCTACTCAAACTCACGTAGCTGTGTAAGGGCTTATGGGGAATTATCATCTGAATTGATATCAACCAGTGGTGTCCGTCAAGGATGTCCACTTTCCCCTTTTCTGTTTAACTTCATCATAGGTATGCTAATGGAAGTATCCTTAACTGAACTTAACGTCTTAGGAATAGACTTGTTACCAGGGGATAGTCTTATGGACTTAGAATATGCAGATGACATGGTCCTGTTAGGGGAGGATACTGAAAAAATGCAGAGTCTTCTGAACACCATATGCTGCAATCTACGAATGTTTGGCAGGCGATTCGCCCCTGTCAAAAGCAAGATGCTGCTATAGGACTGGACTACGTCAACTCCTAGCTTAGTGACAGGGAGTGAAGTGATAGAACATGTTGACCACTTCACCTACTTGGGAAATTGTATCAGCACCAACGGACTGATTGGCGACAAAATCTCAGCACTGATCCGAAAAGCTCCGGCTGCTTTCGCTAACTTACACCATCTCTGGCGAAAGTAGGCGTGACATCCGGCTATCAACCAAGGCACGTGTGTACTGCTCAACAGTTCGCTCCGTCCTTCTCCTCTATGGCTCTCTGAAACATGGCCAATACGAGTTGAAGACATGAAAAGGTTGACTGTTTTTGATCATAGATGTCTACGATCTCTTTCTCACGTTAGGAGGTGGTATAATAAGGTAAGTAATGTTGACGTCAGGCGAAGAGTGTTGGTTGGGCAAGGAGGGAAAATCAATCGACGAGGCTATAAAGTTACATAGATTGAGATGGCTAGGTCACATGCTGCGCATGCCTAACCATCGCCTCCCCCACCCAGACGGGCATTACTAGCTGATATAGGTGCAGGTTGGAAAAGAGTAAGTGGTGGCCAAACAAAAACATGGCCTCATCAATCCATGAAATCCTTGACAGTTAAACTGAGTCAGGTAGGGAGGGAGATGCAGACTTCCGGGTTGGGGCCCGCCCTCGGGACTCTAAGAATCAATGGCTGGAGACAGACAAAAGGTGATATGGCTCAAAATCGTTGTCAATGGCTTACGCAGATGTATTCAGTCTCTTGTGTAATCTTTCATATTCCTTTCTATCATTACTCATTCTGTTTCACTCTTATACTTGTCAAAACTCTATTGATTCTCTTCACTCATTTTCTTGTCTACCTTTGTGTGCTATTTGGAACGTGGGAACTCGAACTGCTGCACTTCGGTGCCAAGTTCTATGTTGAATCCAGACAGACAGACTATCAAAAACCAATCAGATTTTGGGGAGGCTACGAAAGGTCATCCCACCAAAGTGAAAGGATCTACACAGGCAAACAGTCACTTCATTTCCTAATGTCAGATAGTGTTTAAAGTAAAACCACCCATAATACTAAATATATATCGAGTTTATATAAAGGAGACAGTTTGAATTCGTCAATTCATGGCACTTTCAAAAAGGGATGAAGGAAGGAAACTGCAGCATGTTCACCAGTAACTGCGATTCTTATCCATATCTGATGGTGTTTCGAGCCACTGATTCCAACTCTCTCTCTCTCCCTCTCTCGGATCCCCAACCGAGGAAGTCATGATTTGCCAATTGATGCTAACCTAACACACAAGTATCCTTCATCCCACAGCTCCACGTCAGAGACTGATCACCACCTCTCTGCTATTTTCCGTCCAGTCCGAGGGTTAGCGAACAAAGACCGGTATGGAAGCCTCTGGGGTAATATTCGTAATACATGTTAAAGCCACCAAAGCCAGTATTTCCACATGGCGACATCCAATGCATGATGACCCATACCATGTCAAAGCACACGCCATCAGACATGCTTTCGGATGCAAGCGATTCTACGGAGGCAGTGACAATCGAGTACACAGAGTTACCGCACATCCTCAGCTGGGAGAGGCCAGGTTTCACAGGCGTAGAGCAATATTGAGTGCACTGAAGCATTTGGCCCAGTTTGGCGTATGCCCCTCTAGCCTTTACAATACGATTAGGGATTTTGTCCGTCACGCTTCCCCCAGTACTCACACAACTACCTAAAAAACATGAACTTGTCGATAACTTGAAGCGGTTCACCTGCAAGGGTGAGTGCAGGTATAGGATCCTGCCAATCTTGTAACAGTACTTTGCATTTAGACGGAGCAAAGCACATATACTACACTTATAGACACTGATCGTCAACTGATTAGGTGTGATTTGCGCAGCCTGCATGCTATCGCACATCACAAAACTACAAAATTCATAGTGAGAGAAAGGCTTGCTATGAATTATAAACAAGAGCTCCCTTTGTATTCCTCCATACGAACTCTACATCCTAAATCAGAAAATTTTGTCCTGAGTAAATTGCCTACAATATTGATCCATGAATACAAAATAAGCTAAAGACAAGGTATTCAAAAGAAAAGGAAGATAACAAAAAACATACCTTAGAGTTTCGAATCTTTCTAGCCAATACACGACTTAACTTGACCATTTCACTTGCATTTGCCATAAGACGATTCAAGTCCTCGAATGTTTCAGCAATACTATAATCGGCTTCAACAGCACGTGCAGCCTGCTGGCGTTGAATTGCTCCAATCCCTCCTGTACCGAATGATTTAGCCGTAGATTTAGAATCCGAATGAAGAGAAACTGCCCATAATTTTACCTGAAATAATACAATTCACAGGTATACTTTTACAAATTATGTATACAATGATATTATTTATTTGAATTAAAACACAAAACCTGGCACACAATAATAATGAAACAACACATGAGAAAAAACAAGGCATAGGATAAATAAAGGATTTTATCTGAGAAGAAAGCAGTTATATTCGACAAAATCAAACACCATTCGTCGAATAATTTTTTTAGAAAAGGAAGAAAGAAGAAAATTGCAGCACGTTGACCATTGATTGCGACACTGGTCATATCTGATACCGATTCGAGCTATCTTTCGGACTCCAACTAGAGAGACGTGACGCACCAACCGATGCTAACCCAACACAAATATTCTTCATCCCACAAAGCCACTTCATGGGCTGACCGCCTGTCCGCTCTTTCCATCCAGTCCCAGGGCTAGCGAACAGAGACCGGTACGGAAGCTTCTGGGATGACATTCGCAGCACATATCCAAGCCACCGAAGCCTGTGTTTCCGGATGACAACACTCAAATGAATGGTGATCTCCATCGTGTTTAAAGAACACGCCGCTGGACCTCAGAATTACTCACACGATGATGCCATCGAATACACAGAGTCACCGTACATCCTCAGCCCGGAAAGGCCAGGTTTCGCAGGTGTACAGCAAGACAGCCTGCACCGAAGCATTGTAAACCGGACACCTTTGACAGCCAGGCTAACATCGCGACGGCGCCACAGGTCGTTCAAGTTAACGTATGCCACCCTATCTTTCATGATACGGTTATAAATCTCGTCCGTCACCCCTCCCCCCAGCACTCACACAACTACGAACTTATCGACAGCTTCAAGCGGTTTACCTGCAAGAATGAGTGTAGTTACAGGCTCCTGCCAATCTTATAATAGTGCCTTGCGCTTAGACGACGCAAAGCACATACCATACTTATAGACACTGATCGCCAACTGATTAACTGCGATTTGGGCAGCCTGTATACTATCGCACAGTAAGACGATATCGTCTGCATACTCGAGGTTGAAAAGTCTTTCTCCAGGAAGCAGATCTACACCGTCATCACGCACGTCCTCCAGAGCCGACTCCGGAATGTCATCCATGGCAAAGTTAAAGAAAACTGGAGAGACTGGACAACTCTGTCTAGCCCCATTGTTGGTGGGGAACAGTGATGATAGCTGGTTGTATGCCCCCCACTCTACCTGAGGTATTTCTGTATAGGGCTTTCAGGATGTTACCAAACTTCCCAAGTACACCCCTATTTAACAGACAGTTCCAGAGATAAGTTCTAACCAGCGAATCAAAGGTAGCCCCAGTATCAAGAAACACAATGACTTTTGGCCTGTAATACGTGTATCGGTGTTCCAACAACTGACGAAGGGTGAACACATGACCACACATGCACCCACAGCCTGAACAAAATCCAGTCTGCTCTTCCTTAATCGACTAATCACGTGTTTCGCACTGCCTGAGAAGTAAGACAGTCGCCAATATTTTAGACGCAATCGGTACTGATAAGATCTCACCAGTCCTTGTATGTAAAATGTACACTATAAGAATTTCTTTAATGTGATAAGTGCTTACATATACTGAATGAATGAATGAATTTCAACACAGAACCTTGGACAGAAATGCATCAGTTCAAGCTGAAACATATAGGTAGAGAAAAGAGATTCAAAAGAACGATAATATGCAGAAATACACCACAGAAAGAATAGTAACATGGAAAAACCTGATGGTGAAATGAGTATGAAGGATGACAAACAGTGGATGGCATCTGCACAACTGAGAACGTTTTTTAACCATATCACTAATGGTTCTTAACATTTTGAGGACTCCTACCATACAATCTACACCTCCCTAGGTGATTGGCCCAAACCAACTGTCAAAAACTTCCTGGATTAGCACCAGATTTAGGTATGATTACACCTGACTCTTTTTCAATCTAATAATCCTACACCAGTAAATATTGCTTGTCGAGAAACACGATGGCACGGAATGACCAATAAATGCCTTAGCCATCGCCATTCCTATGCCTAACCTCCATATTGCTCACCAGGGCAGATAAGGCGCAAACATCTGTGGCTAAACACATTTAGTCTTTTCGTATCTTCCATTTTCAATGGCTGTGTCTTACAAGCATAAAGAAGGATAGATCGAGCTGCTGCACAGTACACATATCCTTTTGTCTGTATAGCTGAGTATTACGTCTACATCAGAGGTGATGTGAGTTGCCTAATATCACACCAGCCTTTTGCATCCAGGCTGATATTTCGTCAAAAATTAGTCAAATAGGGCTGATGGAACTTCCAAAAATAAGTGAAGTGGTCAACACGCTCCACTACTTTTTTTAATAATAATAATAATAATAATTTGCTTTATTCCAGAAACAGTACTAGTGGTACAGTGTGGAATTTTCAGCACATATCTACAATATTTGCATCTAATTTTATCAAACATTTAAAAGGAGTATTTCAAAAAAATAAATATAAAGACACCAACAGCAAAAAAACAACAGGAAAAACAAAATAATTTAAAAAATGCGAAAAAATACCAAGAAGTAGAAAGGAAAATAAACAGCATATAATAATAACTCAGTATTGGGTAGTGGAAGCTATGATATGATTATGCATGGTGACAGTAAAGCTATAGTCATACAAGAAGTTATGAAATGATAATTAAGAATGTTTATCGCCAAGATGATCAGTTAATTTGGTTGAAACAACTCTAAACAATCATAAAATAACATTTCAGGGTTGTTGTTTTGTTTTTTATTGTCAGGTCTAATGCGGTGTTTGTAGTGGTAGTGTGAGTAATCCTGCATAATACAAAATTTTAAGATGATAATGGCGTTCACAACCAAGATTGTCAGTTAATATTGCCGAAAAAAAAAAAAAGAAAAAACAACCACAAAACTAATAATTACATGATGGTTAATGACAGGACAATTTTGTAATACTCATAGTGCTAATATAGTCGGAACCAGTAGATACACAAAAGAAGGAATAAAGTACAAAAAGTAAGCCAATGTTAATAATTTAGGTAGCTAAGTATGTTTAAGAAGGAGTTCACTATAGAATACAAAATAAGAGAGAAATAAAAGAGCCTAAAATTATGTTATTAACAACAAAGCAAGTCATAGGTTTCGCACTTAACATTGTCTCTGTCACTTAGAACACGGGCCAAGTATGGTATCGTTGAGTTCCTGTACTTGGTTGCACGAGCATAGATTATTTTATACTGATTTCTGGTTCTACTTGATGAGATACAAGGCGAGAGTTGGGAATAGAGGGGGTGTTGGGGGTCGGAGAGTATGGTTTTTGACCATTTTTCGCATGTATTCAGATGCCTATCAACTAAAGTAGTGACGAGCTGACTGAGTTTTACACCACTAGTCCTACTGACTACCTTCAACATCCTTCTCAGGATGGTATAGTCCTTTTTCAATAGACCAGAAAAACTAACGGGGAGAAGTAAAGTAGAATAGGTAAGATACAAGAGTTGACAAATTGTGAAAGTAGAGGTTGGATGATTCCAGATAGTCGAAGTTTCTTAATGTAGTAGGTAAGACAGAACACTTTCTTAGAAATCGTTAGGATATGAGATGTCCAAGTAAGGTCGGAAGATAGAACTAGACCGAGGTATTTTGCACTAGACTTAGTTTCAATTTTAGTCCCCTCAATGCAACAGTCTTCATGAGAACTTACTAGTGTTTGTAGATCTCGTTTATGCCTAAGGGAGAAGTCAATAGTCTGGCATTTTAAGGGATTCAGCATGAGACCATTTAGTTTAGACCACTGACTGATGTCCGACAGGAAGCTATTTAATTTGAAACAGTCTGACTGGGACTTAACGGGAAGCAAAACAGTCAGATCATCTGCATATTTGACATACTTCACTCGCAATCCCTAAACTATGTCTGTGTAGTTCAGTCCTGTAGTAGCACGGCAATCATCCGAAGATTTCTTCTCAGTGCCTAGAAGACTCTGAATTTCCTACAGAACCTTCACCTAGGAGGAAAATATCATCCACATAGTCTAAGTCAACAATACTGTCGCCTGGTAATAAGTTAATCCCTAAGCCATTAAAGTCAGTTAGGGTCAATTCCATTAGAAAATCTACGATGAGGGGAAAGTGGACATACCTGACGGACATCCCCGGTTGTCGTTACTGCAGATAACAATACAAACGAAGGATAAGGTAGATAGTTTTGCCACATCTATGTGCATTTATCAATTCAACTGCACCTGCGGTGACAGTTATGTTGGACGCACTAGTAGGCAGCTTAGCCAACGTGTTAGTGAACACCTCCCATCGTGGTTTGGCAAAGGACAGACAAAAACAATCCGTAGCTCAATTTTGTCACAATTAATTGATAGTGGTCATGTAATGGAGAAAACGAGAGCTTTCAAAATAATTCATCGTATCCCACCGAATCTTTCCAATAGACTTCGTATTCGTCTAATGCACACAGTTGAGGTGATAGGCATTCGAACTAATATACCCAAACTATGCATTCAAAAGAAGTTCGTACAGCCATTATTTCCCCTTGTTTATATTTTCAACCCCTTTCTTATCATCCCTTAATCTTATCACATATTCAGTAAAAACGTGTTTCATTTACTTCCTTTACAATCTAGCATTACTTAATCGGTTCATTTGTTTTGACTAGATAACAACTCTCCCTAAGTTCTTACAAGGCTGTGTGAGTTGGAGTAGAGTGCCTTGATTAATCCGATATACTTTCTTAGCAATCCCTTCAGGGTTAAAAATTGCCCCAGCACCACCACCTATCAGTCGACAGAGTCTGGTGGCCTTGATGATAACTATAATATATGAACAAGAAAGTCGACTCATAGCAATTTTTACTCCAAGTAGTGGCTAGAAAATGAATGAATGAATAACGATAGAAATTAAACTTTGCTTTATTTTTATTACATCACATCACATACCTTTAACACTTCATTTAACGATCGAAGAAATTCATGATGTCCAGCTCTAGGAAAGCCTAATTTAACATGATCTTCTTTTGAATAACTCACTACAGCAGCCGCCGTTGTATAGTTGACCGCAGCATTTTCACCGCCAGTACTCCCACCAACATTATCACACCAGTGTTCAATCCATTTAGGTGGATTCGACAAACTGGTTAAAGCATTCTGTAGCGCGGGTACACTGATCAAGCGTAGTATAAGCTTAGGTGTACGATTTATCGTAAGACCACCGCCTTCTTCAAGTTTCACTGAGATAATAGCAGCCAACGGTAGCGCTATAAATGATTGACTATCCGGTTGTAATGGATCAAACCAAAGCAGACGATGCGTTGTCAATTTGACAACACCACAATCGAAAGCGCTTCGATTCGGTCCATCATAGAGGCGTACACCTGTCTGTTGTAGTACAATTGTCTCTTCATTGATGCTATCTAATATGCTTGTTGACCCGTAATTTTCAACATCATCTGAACACCAACGGAAACGATCCATAAATTTAAATAATTACATAGATGATTATAACGATGGTAGTGGTGACATGTACTGTATACCTATTTTTTTATAAAGAAAAACAAGAAAAAACACAAAAGTAAATGAAGACTATTCACCCGGGAAATTATTTACAGCTAAGTGTAATATGAAAAGAAAGATACTATTTTATATAGCCATAAAAGAAGTAAGTTTATCATTGCAAGATATGTGAACTGACAAGGGAATTATTTATTTATTTAAACGCAGAAAAACTTGGTACAATACGGCACCAAGAAAGATGCGCCACACAATATTGTGTGAGGGCTGAGATACTGTCCGGGCGCCCAGACCGAAGCAGGTGGTTTTCTTAAGGGACCACCCCCGAGCCTTTGACTTGGAGTCTAATCCGCAAGGCAGCGGAGCAGCGTCAGGGACATGAGTCCCAGCCAGTTTAGCTTGTTGGGTCACTGCGGCATTCAAGCCCGACCATCACGGCAAGGTAGCAGTTATCGGTCGGGGACAAGGGAATTATTGATTAGATAAACTCTTTCTCTCTCTTACACACACACACACACTTAGAGTGGTACACAAGGTTATTCTATCTCCCATATGAAATGGTATAATATGGGAAGTAATATTAAGGTTGGGCGTGGAGTGTTAAGGTAAGGAAGGGAAGACAATCGATAAGGCTGTGAAGCTAAGACACGTGTGTTATGCATTCCAAGCCACCGCCTTCTTCGACCAGCAATATTAGCTGACATGAAGCCATGACAAGTCTGTCTGGTTTCGTGTGCATTTCGGATTGTGAGGGCGATTGTTACTTCCCGGCTGCCCACACCGTGGAAGTTGCTTGCGTGACCACAGAGCCCAGGGGACAACTGCTTGAGGCCGGTCACACACGGCCTGATTTTGTTTGTTCTTTTTCATTCGGTGTGTCTCAGTAGCATATTTATCACTTCTGCCCTGTGACACGGCAGCAGGAAGCGCGGTCGTTGTTAATCCGGGCCCCGACCGATCCGTCATGATATTTTGTGATTTACTTTGAGTTATAGCATTGGGTTGGGTAACTGCTTTTTGTCTAACCGCTATCCAAACAACCTTTCTGGCTTGGTAGGACCTCAAGCGACATAAGTCTCAGCCAGTATAGCTTGTTGGGTCATTGCGGTGTTCAAGCCCGACCACCACGTCAAGGTAACAGCTTTCGGTCGGGTCCATGACAGGTAGTTTGAGCCAACCACATACGGGGGAAAGGGGTGTAGACTATTTTGGCTGAAGTCCTCAGGATGTTAAGAACTAATGGCTGGAGATTTTTAGTGATATGAATTAGAATCGTTCTCAATCACACAGATGCAATAAACTCTCCTAACCTTTTCTGTGTTACTATTCTTCCTTTCTTCCGTTGTCTATTTCTGCGCATTATAGTTCTTTTTAAAGCTCTTGTTTTCCCTCTTTTTCACTACCTTGGAGTGTGGCACTTCTGCATTGAAATGCTTAGTCCGTGGGATTTTCATTAATCACAGTACACATTCTCGTCACAAACCGACACTAATAAGAGAAGTATTGAAAGGAGACCAAGGAGAGTACTGGACAGTACAGCTGAATAGTCAACAAGCTCACATCTCGTAACACCTGAAGGTCTTGGATTTTATTCCTGATGGATTCGCGAGGGCAGCATATTGCTGGATAGTCTCACAACTAGGACGAAGTGACAGCCGTCCAGTACCGCATAACCTTCAAGAACTCTCTAATTGGTGTCAGTTCATGACGATATCAATACTGATATATGATTTAAGTCTTAACTAACCAGAAAACGCTCTACAGAGAAAATATTCTTTTCTGTAGGAAAAAATGTGTATAACCTCTAAAAAGCAACAAGGAGAATCACAAGGATTTATGGGGGGGGGGGGATAACAGAAAACACAAAACGATTAGAACTAGTTAACGTTTCTATAAGAACTGGAGCTTTGCTTTTAGACACTTAACTTACGACTACTCGAGATTCATTTCAACCATTACAAATCCAAAGGTCAGTATGGTCAGTCTGGCTGATCACGTTCCACAGTGGAACACAGCGAGGGCTTCAAGCTAGTGGCTTGAAGTTTCTATAGCAGTGTTTATTTTACAGGATGGGGTTGCTAGCCACCTCATGCCCAACCTTTCCTCTTCACCAGCATTATTTCTGGCTTAGCAAGGTAAAGGAGTGCGTCGGCCAGGGATCGAACCCCGGACCACCTGCGTGGTCGGCGAGCACTCTACCGCTGTGCCACCGACGCACAGCAGTACCACTTTCAAGACCATATTTAACCGTCCATTTAACTAGTCTGGCTTTTCCAGTCTCAAAAAAAAGTCAAGTAGCAGAAGGGACTACGATGTTCATAAGTGTCCTTGCTATTTTAAGAATCCTTTCGTCTAAGGATGAACACCACCTTTGCATTCATACACAAACGTCATCATCATCATCACAAAGAACTAACTAACTGACTCATTGATTTTCAACATAGAAATCTGCACAGAAGTGAAGCACCAGTTCAAGTTGCCATACTCCATATACCACACAAATGAAGATAAAAGAGACAAGAGACTCCAAATAACAATAATAAGCAGAAATGCACCGCGGAAAGAAATAGTAACATGGGAATCCATGAGGACGTAATGGATACAGGAGATCACAAACACAAAGGGAGTGAATACACATCTGCGCCATTCTTAGCATCCCTAGGACCGCCCCTCCCCCCAACCCGCCAACCAACCAAGCAGTTTTTACCTTCCTACATAGTCGAAGACTTCATCGACTGATGCCAGGCTAAATTCATTGAAATCTATCCCTCCCATGAGCATAAAGACGTGTAGAAGTGGAAGCCCTGAAGTGCCCTTTGTATGTGATATACTCAAAAACGAAAACTGGTAAGTATGGTAGTTACTTGATGAATGCATAAGAAACTTTATTCCCTCGGGAAAAGCTTTCTTCACATTAAAACCCAATCAATATCGTATCAAAGACGGATATAACCAAAAGTAAAATAACTTAACAACGTAAAGATATGCCACGTGTTATCTAGTTGGCTGACGAACAAAGTAATGACAAAACAATACGCTGTTTCACCTAGGGAAGCTATACCAAGGCGGGTATTTGTTCGTGACACAACCTAAAAAAGTCTTCTGCAAGAAAGTAAACCACCTCTGAACTTCAAGAAGTTGCTGTACTAGAGACTTGAAGTTTTGGTAGCAGTGGTGTTTATTTTTACGGGATGGGGTTGCTGCTAGCCACCTCATGCCCAACCTTCTCTCTTGACCAGTCTTATTACTGGGTTTAGCGAGGTAAGTGGGTGCGTCACTGACAGGGGATCGAACCCCAGACCACAGGCGTGGTTGGCGAGCATTCTCCCGATGTGCCACCGACGCACTAAAACAAGGGAGTACTGGATAACTGTTTCATCCCCCCCCCCCAGTTTGGGACTCATCGGTAGCGCGCACCCACTGGGTTTCGAAACCAGGACCTTCCGGTTACAAGGCAATACTCGTATACCATTCAACCACTGAGACCCAGAAACAAACGGCATCGAAAGAAAAAGCCTCCCACATCATTTATATACTTGAAAGTCATCTGAAGGTATCCCCTAAATTCACACAGAATTAGGTTCCCATCTGTGACAACAAATTTGTATTACTTCATTGTCAACATCATAGATGTAGAGATATTCTAAATGTATAACGAATATGTGGAACTTATTATTTTCAAAATGAACTGACTTCAGAAACTAGAATGGGACAGCTGTCCAGTACTCCCAGTTTACCTATGGTTCTCTAAATGACGGCGACATATGAAAAAAAACTTAATAATTAAGACCACTGAACCACTACTACAGATCTACTAATTATTCTATCCAGGTAGCACCATGGAAGATGCATGTCTACTTAATTGACGAAAAGCGTCTTTTTCAGTGCAAATTACAAGCAAATGGGGCTAATTATTTGAAAGCTTCTCTGAAACCCCATGTGTACAACACACACACACACAACATTTGGAGCTTCCGAAAAATTCAGCAAAGGAAACTAAGATGACATTTATTCATTCATACACCCAAAAAATCGTATCCCAAAAAAATGTTACTGCGTATCTGTCAGCCTTGTAGATGGTAATACAAACTGAGTTTCAAGACAGAACTTTGCACAGAAGTGAAGCGGCAGTTCAAGTCGCCACACTCCATACAGCACACACAAACCTGGAAGAAAGAGAGAAAAAAAGGACTCGAAAGTACTATAATAAGCAGAAATATGTGAGGGAGAAAGAACAGTAACACGGAAAAACATGAGGGTAGAATGGATATGGGAGATTACACAAAGAGGGTGAATGCATCTGTGCCATTCTTGAGAACGATTTTAAGTCATATCTCCTCCAATGGACTCCAGTTATTGGTTTTGTAGCATCCTGAGGACGCCAACCTGTCAGTCTACACCTCCCTAAATGCACGGCTTAAGCTAACTGTCAAAGAATTCACGGACTGATGACAGCTCTTGACTCCAACTTCATCCTCCCATGTCGGTATAACCAGTAATTTAACTCCTTTCACAAGCAAGAAACATGCATTTTAACAAAACGACAGCATAACCACCAACACTGCATGAAACTTACACCTGATCTTTCATTGCTCGTGTATACATCCCATTATACTAAAAAATACCTAAATGTTCCCACCACAGAAAGAAGTAAGGACTTCTTAGTGAGTAGCGCAGACATTAATTACGTCTATTTTTTTTATTTTTTATCCTTCACGTTCCTCAGTGGAACATAGGGCTTCAAGCTAGTGGCTTGAAGTTTCTGTAGCAGTGTTTATTTTACAGGATGGGGTTGCTAGCCTCATGCCCAACCTTTCCTCTTTACCAGCATTATTTCTGGCTTAGCGAGGTAAAGGAGTGCCTCGTCGGTGGCCGGGTGTCGAACCCCGGACCATGTGCATGGTCGGCGAGCGTACTAACCGCTATGCCACCGACGGCTAATTACGCCTGCGATGGTACTATTTCATAATTATGATGCATTTTAATAAACCTGCTCATCAAGCACGCACGTTGCCCGGGTTCGATTTCCACCTGGTGCCATCCTCAACCCCGCCTAGGCGGTGATAAGCCCCAAAAAGGAAGGCTGAGCTAGTGTGAGGCCCATAAACGACGTGGTAAGCCTGAGGGTGGATAGACTCGGGCCTTCTTCTTGAAATGCTCTCATACGGCCACAAATGCATTCGTAGCCTATACCAGATAAGTCCTACTCACCGCCTTCACGCGATTAAGGTGTTCTTTACAAAAGTGATAGAACGAATGGGAACAACCAGTCTTGGGGACATGCTGGTCTACCTAGAGGAGCTGAAAAACCCTGATTACAAACCACCTATGGTGTAAATGGGCTCCAGACGGATCCGAACGTATCAAACAGTGTACAAACTTGTTTTGCTTGTCGTCTATAATCGGGACACAGCTCCTGACGACGCTGCTCCACTGTCTTGAGGAGCAGACTTCAAGTCAGAGACTCAGATGGGGATGATCACTTAAGGCAACCCCTTGCTTCGGTCAGGGTGTCAGGGCAGTATCCCCAGCCTTCGCACAAACTATGACAGTTCTTGCGGCGTATCTCTTGGCACGAAGTTCATGTTTAATAAACAAAATGCTCCACTAAGAACGCAAACGTATGAAAAACAGACCTGTGAAGTGTCCACAGGACTGGGTAACACACCAATTCCAGTGATCTCAACTTTCCTAATAAAACCAAAACAAAACTACTTCAGAATGCTGAGCAAGGACACCAACAACATCAACAACAACAACAACAACAACCAGTGATTACGTCATGCTTCTCAAGAAGCAAAACAAAAGCCACAAACACTATACAGGAAAATAATTGAAAAGGAAAAACTAACTAAAATATTTCAATAATTTTGCTTATTTTATACAAAATCACTGTACATTGGCGGCAGCAGCAGCAGCAGTCATGGGATAATTTAAAAAATCGAATGAAAATATGTAAATAAATAATTATGAAAAAAGAAAGACAATTGTTTTTCTTTTAAAAAAATGAATCGGCAGAGTATTTGTGTTTCATCACACTTGTTTTTTTTTCTGGCATCATCAAATAAGTACATCACTTGCAGTAGAACAGGCGACTGATAGGAGGCGTGTGTGTATGTTCATAGACTTAATTGGCAATAACCACAACTTCTCTATTCCTCTGCTTACGAGGTGAATCTAGATAATGAATAAATAGAAGGGAAACATAAGTAGGCGGATTAGAATTCCATTTCACATGTAAACAGGAATAATTAACTATTAAAATAAGTGGCACATAAAATCCTAAACCCCTGAAACTGACTCACTGACTGACTGGTTTCAACGTAGAACTTTGCATAGATGTGCAGCTGTTCGAGTCGCCACATTTCACTTAGCACACAAGGCAAGAGAAGAAAGTAAAAAGAGATTCAAAACAGGGAGAGATAACCAACAGAAATATGAGTGAGGCATAAAGAATAGTAATTTGGAAGACCTGGGAGTACTGGACAGCTGTTTTGTCCTAGTTTGGGAATCTTCAGGAGTACGCACCCACCGGGATTCGAACCCAGGACCTTCTGGTTACAACGTGAGCTCGTAGACCATTGAGCCACTGGGACCCGATCCAATGGTCCTTGAATTGTCAGCCCATGATGAAATCCTCCATGCAATCAAACAAAATCCTTACAAAACCAATACTTGATAATTTGGAAGAATAATATAGTTTTACTAGATATAATAAGTCACAAGGAGTGGATGCATCTGCACCAGCCATTGAGAACGATGAGTTTGAGCCATATCACCGGTAATTGTCTCCAGCTTTCATTGGTTTTTACCGTCCCGAAGACCCCAACCAGTCAGGAAGTCTACACCTTCCTACGTGGCTGACTAGCTTAAACTAACTGTTGTGGATTTCATTGACTGGTGAAGCCATGTTTCGGTTTGACCATCTCCACTCGCTCTTTTCCAACCTGATCCATCCTATGTCAGTGGCTAACATTGCCCTTTGAGGAAGGCGATGGCTATGCAGGCGTGCGTAACACATGTCCTAACCATCTCAATCGATGTAACTCCACAGACTCGTCGATAGATTTCCCCTCCTTACCTAGTACTCGACGCCCAACCTCGATACTGTTCACCCCATTATACCACTTAATACGGGAGGTAGAAGGCAGGCACCTATGATCAAAGACAGCTAACCTTTCAATGTCTTTCACTTTCAATGGCTAAGTCTCACAGTCATAAAGGAGGACGGAGAGGACTGCCGAGCAGTACACACGCCCTTTGGTCGATAGCCAACCGGATATCACGTCTACGCCAAAGGCGGTGTGAACTGGCATATGCTAAAACAAATAATTAAAATAAATTACCCTTAAAAATGTGCGTCGGTGGCATAGCGGTTAGGACGCTCGCCGACCATGCACATGGTCCGGGGTTCAAACCTCGGCCGACGCACTCCTTTACCTCGCTAAGCCAGAAATAATGCTGGTGAAGAGGAAAGGTTGGGCATGAGGCTAGCAACCCCATCCTGTAAAATAAACACTGCTACAGAAACTTCAAGCCACTAGTTTGAAGGCCTATGTTCCACCTGGGGAACGTGACGGATAAAAAAACCCTTAAAAATAGATGTACACTGAAGTCCTTGTAGCTACTGAGTTGATTTCTGAGGCTAGGGTCACTATCCTGAACACGCGCAACCTTCATTCTTTTGCCGGGCTTAAGACCAGCTAATAAACTAGTGAGCTAGTATACTAGGCGAGGCTGGTGATGGCACACATGTCAAGTAACTCACAACGGGAAACTCAGCGAAGCCTCTGAAGTGAAGACCGGAGTAAGACAAGGCTGGCTGCCTACTATCACTGATGATATTCCTGATTGTGGCAGAGTGGATCATGCGACACACCGTAAAGAATGAGGAGACAGATATACGTTTAACCGACAAGAAGATTCTAGAAAGTCAGGACTTCGCAGACGATCTATGACTAATGTCACATAAACTCGAAGACTTCCAGGCGAAAATCAATAAGCTGGCAGACTGGCAGCAAAGATAGGATTTCAAGTGGATATAGAGAAGGCAGACAACAACAACAAGCACCAATCACGTTCAACGGGAGAAATTTGGAAGAGGTCACTTCTTTCACTTATCCACGCAGCATCCGTTTCAACTACAGGCGACAAAAATGAGAATATCAAAGCCAGTCGGGATCAGAAAACCGAGATAGACCTTCATCAATCTGAAATCAGTTTGGAAATCTTCTTCATTCAGCTAGGAAAAAGAATAAGATTCGGATTTTCAACAACAATGTTAAGTCAGTTCTTCCATATGGGTCGGAAAATTGGCCAGCACGTCAGGAGAAGCATTTCCAACAGGCTACTGCAGACTTTTACCAACAGCTGCACTCTTCGCTCCATACTGAAGATCAGGTAGTTGACAAGAAAAAAGGACTAACGACAAGGAACTCTGACAACCAACAATTTGTTGCTCAATTTACTGGAGACAGGCTGAGAAGAGAGTTGGGTGATATGGCGCGCTAAACAGTCCCCTGAGTGGAACCAGAATGCGAAACGACGAGTGAAGCATCACTTCGAGGATGACATGGAGAGGATTGTGTGAGGATGAGATGAAAATTTATGCGCAATCATTGAAGCCAGCTAAAGAGGACCTCAGATAACAGAATGAAGTGGAGATGTGCTGTTGAAGACTTATATTCCACTTGGAACCTAAGAGAATAATAACAAATGGAGATGTGACTTACTGGCTTAGGTACTCACGTAACAACAGAAGACAAAGGCCAGGCAACAGATGGCTTACTAAGGAAATCAACAGATATTTATAGATTTCCATGTACATTATTATAGATTATTGTTAGCAGACAAACACAGTCTTCTGATTGGTTGTTTCTCACTGAAAGTTAATCTTTCATCTCTTTGTGGCTGTTTCTTCAAGGTCAGATCATCTGCTATCTGCTAATTGTATCCGCCTACGCAAACAAAGTCTGCTGTGATTGGTTGTTGAGTCAGTCTTTGTTCTTGTTTTCACATGACCAATATTTGGGACATAAACATTGACGTAAATTACTGTCTACCAATTTGGCTAGCAGACAGCTCTCACCACACTCAGTTAACAGCCAGTAGGTATTATTATTATTGTTCCCTTGGGTTCCAAGTGGAACATAGGGCTTCAACTGCACGTCTCCACTTGCTTCTGTCTTCCGCTGTACTTTTCACTTGCATCCATTTTAGTCCATAGTGTTTCAACTCTTCTTTACACGATCTCCTCCATGTTACCCTTGGACGTCCCACTCGCCGCTTCCCTTTCGGGTTCCACTCGAGCTATGGCCTGACGTGCGATGTCACCCAACGGCCTCCTCAGCGAGTGTTCAATCCATCTCCACTTTCTACTGCATATTTGTTGGGCGATTGGTTCTTGTTTTGTTTGTTCCCATATTTTCTCGTTGGTGATTCTTTCCGGCCATATGATCTTCAGTAGCATAGAACGAAGACAGCTGTTGATAAAGGTACAACCGGTTGGAAATATTCTTTGTGACCTGCCAAGTTTCTGATCCGTATAGAAGAATTGACTGACTTGACGTTTGTATTGAAAATCCGAATCATTTTGTTGTTGATGCTGAGTGACAACGGAAGATTTCCAGATTGGTTTCAGGTTGATGAATATGTTTCTCGCCTTCCCGATTCTCGATTTGACATCCTCGTCCGTTCCTCCTGTAGTTGAGACAATGCTCCCTAGATAAGTGGATGAAATAACCTCTTTCAAATACCTCCCGTTGATGGAGCCAGTAGGTCAGCAGTTCGAATTCCACTCCACCTAATTCCGCCTGTACAATTAGGTAGCATCAACAGCCCTTAAAACATAATTCATGGCCAACAGCCTAAGACATTCAAGACCAGCTTCAAATGACTAATTTCAAACATATGAAAGTTAAATGAGGGTAAGTAAAAATTATTTGGCTACCATGTGGTTTTTAGTTTCATTTTATTTTATTCAATATTATATCAATAAAAATAAAATTTAAATCATTTGAATTTTTGATGAAACTAACCATTAAGCATACCTTTAGTTCTTTCATCGGTAGATTTATCATCTCTGATAGGATGCTCTGGTACTTCTGGAAGCCTTGCAACTTCATCCTCTACCAGACGAGCTAAATCACGCTCAATAGCAGCATAGTCTTTCGAAGACAGACCACCTGATACAAGATCATTAAGTTCCTGAAATAGAGGAATAATTATATATATATTTTTTTTTTTATTTTATTTTATTTTTTGATTTACAGCTTGATTCCACACCGTATTTTCAGTACAAGTATGGAATTTTCAGCATGGATATCGGTAGCCCAAATTCAGGCCGACCATAGATATCGGGTGTGCGCCGGCAGGGGATCGAACCCCGGACCATGTGCATGGTCGGCGAGAGTCCTAACCACTGTGCCACCGATGCTTAATATTTGTAAATACTAGTTAGTTCATACTAAAATATATATGAAGTAAATTATTACTACCGGTCGGTCGGTTTTCGACATAGAACTTTGCACATATGTGCGCCAGTTCAAGTCGCCACACTCCATGTAGTACACAAAGCAAGAGAGGAAAGTAGGAGAAATGCATATTAGAGATAGTAAACAGAGGTGTGAGACAAAGGAATAGTAATAACGAAGAACAAAACAGTTTCATTGGAAATCATAAGTCACAAGGAGTGGATGCATCTGCATCAGCCATTGAGAACGATGAGTTTGAGCCATGTCACCAATTATTTCCAACCATTGGTTGTAACCGTCCCGAGGACCCCCAACCAGTTGGGAAGTCTACACCTTCCTACGTGGCTTAGACTAACTGTTGTGAATTTTAAGTGTTGGTTTGTAGGGATTTGATTGGTTACAGGATTTTCATCATGAGCTGAGTTAGAGAACCATTGGAAAACCAGTAGTGGAGTACTGGACAGCTGTTTCGTCCTAGTTTGGGGCTCTTCATCAGTACGCACCCACCGGGATTCGAACCCAGGACCTTCTGGTTACAAGGCGAGCTCGTTCATGAGCTGACATTAGTTAGAGAACCATTGGAAAACCTGGGAGGATTTCAATGACTGGTGTCATGTTTTCGTTTAACCGCCGCTAGCTCCTTTCCAGCCTGAAATTATTACTACCATGTCCCAGCTTAATTAATGTCCACTTTGTTAAATATGATCGATAAAATGAAGTCAGTATTTAAGCACAGACATTGTATTGACTACACTTCAGTGGCTAAACAACTTACGAGGCAGTATTTGGAAATAACAAACTAGTAAATATAATCTATAAAACACAAAATATTTGAGCAAAGAATATCCCCTTTCGATAATTTCCTCTTCTGGCTCTACAATTACATATACATGTGTTTATATACATAGAATATTCTAGAATAGTAGTCAATAACAATATTAGTGTTTTTTAAAAATAATATCGATTTGTAAAGTAAGATCACAATGGAATTACAGTTCATTAAAGATGCTTAAATTATAATAATAATAATAATAAGAGCAAGTAGAATATCAAACAAAATTAAGGAAATTTCTACAAAAAATTGAGGATCATTCGAATGCTCTTTTTACCGCATTTCTAAGGCGCTGTGTTAGTATCTCGCTGATGTTGTCCCCAAGGAACTGAATTTGTAAGAATAAGGCCTTTTTAGGAACTGTTGGTACCTTGGGCTGCTTTAATTTTAGATTCATATTCCCTGCATTCCCTGCTGCAAATTACGCTGTGTCTTCAAAACCACTCCTCTTTTGCGTTCGGAGGTACAAGACAAACTGCCTAATTTCGCCTCCTCCATGTGTGTCTAACAATTTAACTGCTCTTGTGGAGCCAATTAAGTTAGTTGCATAGGCAGTACAATTAGGCGTGTTTCTCGTCGAATTTCCGAACATCACCCTGCATCGTGGTTGGTTAGGTAAAGGACAAACAAAATCCACTCGTAGCGCTATTCTATCTCATCTTGTGGATACAGAACACAAGGTTGACGTTAATCATGCTTTCAGCATTATTTACCGCATACCAACAAATCTTAACTTCGCCTTAAGAATTCGTCTACTACATATTGCTGAGGCTGGTTGTTGGGATCCACATTAAGAATCCTAATTTATGCATCCAAAAGAAGCTAGTTCGGACATTGTCCTTACCTTGGCCAGCTAGGTTCGAATGATCCTCAATTTTTTGTAGAAATTTCCTTAATTTTGTTTAATATTCTATTTGGTCTTATATTATTATTATAATTTAAGCATCTACAGTGAACTGTAATTCCACTGTGATCTTACTTTACAAATCGATATTATTTAAAAAAAACACGCTAATATTGTTATTGGCGAGACTATTCTAGAATATTCTATGTAAATAAACATATGTATATGTAATTGTAGAGCCAGAAGAGAAGGCAATTATCGAAAAGGATATTCTTTGCTCAATTATTTTGTGTTTAATAAATATAATCTAACGATAAGTTAATGAATTCTTTTTAACAAAAATCTATTTAATAATGTGTACAAGTGTGGTTTTCGCGTCAGTGGTAGAATGCTGTCGAACGACACAGTAAGTGGCTAGGGCTCGATTCCCGGTTGATGCACTCCTAAATCCACTCTAACCAGTAGTAAGCCCGGTAAAGAGAGGAAGTTGACCTGGTAGCATGAGGCGAACAACGACACCATTACCGAAACATCAAAGCTTACGCTTGAAACCGTAAGTTCCACACGAAACGTAAGGCAATGAAAAAGTGTGGTCTATTTACCTTGAAACAACTACTAGGCCACAGGTCAAGAGTTCAAAGCCATTACAAATTAAACATAACTGACAGTTGAACAAACAAAACATTCAGCACTCACTGAATTGCACTTAACTGATTAAAGCCAAAGCAAACGATATAGACAAGATGCATTGGAAGATAATTGACTTTCTTTTCAATAATGCCCTACTATACTAACTAAATAATTAGTTAGTTAAAATAATTACCAGTGGAAACTTTTATAAGTCAGTTGGTATTGAGACCATTTTCCCACACAAACTATATTATTATTATTTCCTTTAATTCCTAGAGGAACATAGGGCTTCAGCCGCGCGTCTCCATCGCGTTCGGTTCTCTGCTAGAGTTTCCACTTGGCTCCAAGTCTGCCCACCTGTTTCCATCTCCTCTTCACATGACCTCCTCCAAATCACCCTTGCACTGACGACCAACTCGCCGTTTCCCTTTCGGCTTCCACTCGAGCAATGGCTTGTCTAGTGATGTCACTTGATGGTTTCCTCAGAGTATGGCCACTTCATCCCCATTTCTTCCTGCCTATTTGTTGCACAATCGGTTCCTGCTGGGTTGGTTCGCTCATTGCCAGCGATCTCTGTTGCTGGTCTTTTCTGGACATCTCATCTTGAGTATTGAGCGACGACAACTGTTAATGAAGGTCAGTAGTTTGTTTGATGTGCTCTTTATGACGCGCCAAGTCTCTGATCCGTATAGTAGTAATGACTTCACATTGGAGTTGAAAATCCGGATCTTATTTTTCATGCTGAGTGCTGTTGACCTCCAAACACACTTGAGAGTAATGAAAGCTTGTCTTGCTTTCCCGATCCTTGCTTTGATATCCTCGTCAGTTCCGCCTGTAGTTGAAATGATGCTTCCCAGGTAAGTGGGTAGGTAAAGGAGAATGCTTCTTTCGAATTCCTCCCATTTATGCTGATTGTTGTCTGTTGTTGTTGTTGCTGGTGTTGTCCAGGAATCTTCATCACCTCTGTTTTCTCTATGTTCACCTGAAGTCCTGTCTTTGATGCGCCTTCTGCTAACTTGTTGCTTTTCACTCGCATATCTTCCAGTTTGTGGGAAATCAGACACATATCATCGGCGAAGTCCAGATCCTCAAAGTGTTTTTTGTGGGTCCATCGTATGCCTGTTTCCTCGTTGCCCGCTAACTGTCGCATTATCCAATCTACTCCAATCAGGAAAACCAGTGGAGATAGTAGGCAGCCAGCCTTGTCTTACTCCCATCTTCACCTCGAAGGATTCCGTAAGTTTCCCGTTGTGAATTACTTGGCATGCACCACTGTCGTACAACTGTCGGATGAGATGTATAATTGTCGGCAGCACCCCATAGTAGCGAAGTAGTTGCCAAAGCACCTCTCGATCGACGGTGTTGAAGGCCTTTTCAAAGTCGATGAAGTTGAGATAGAGAGGTGACTGCCATTCGAAGCTTTGTTCAATGATGATCCGTAGTGTGGCAATCACCGGCCACCGACCCACTTCTTTAACTCGCCAAACCAGTAATAAGACTGGTAAAGAGGGAAGGTTGCGCATGAGGTGGCTAGCAGCAACCCCATCCCGTAAAAATAAACACCACTGTGCTACCGAAACTTCAAATGTCTCTAGCTTGAAGCCTTATGTTCCACTAGGAAGGAACGTAATGGAATACAAAAAAACACAATATCGATTCACTTTTTAGCAGTTAACAAACATTTTTGCCCTTCTTTTGATAAGCTCATAAAAATAACTTACACGTTGATAATCAACAGCATCTTGTGCCTCTGACATAATTTTCTCTGCATCATCCAATGACATCACTTTTTGCATATTCTTTAAAGCCTCATTTCCCTGTTTGATACCGTCTAAAACTTCAACTTCTATTTGAGCGAATTCAATATCGTTGACTAGCTGTTCAATATTTGACAGTTGAATTTCAGTTTTTTGTATAAGATTTTCAAGATACTTTTTCTTCTTAAGCAGTAATAAAGCCCGTCTAAAAACAAAAAAATATTTAAAAAATAATAATAAAAACAAATATTCAAGTGATTGACTAATTTGTCTAGTAGGTAATTTACCACAAAAATCAAAACCCTCAGTTAGAGAGGTATCTTCATAAATCAATCGATCAATCAATCAATGATTCAGATACCTGTTCTAAATGTCATCACAAGGGTTGAAATTTTTTTTATTTTTTCAAGGAGAAAAACAAACAAAACAACTCACTCTTTTCTACCACGGCTAACAAGCTCTTTGGCTAAGACATGTTCACACTCGATTTGACGTTCAATTCTCTTGGTCATTTGATTCAATTTGTCACGTTGCTGTTTCAACTGGAGAACAGCTTTATCCTGTTCTGTGATTCTCGATCGATGCCGATGTCTTGAGAAAAGAGAACCCATTCTGTGTTAACAGTGGTAAGTTTTCAGTAGAGTTGGTTTTACATAAGCCAGTAACTGTTCCAAGAGTTGGAGTGGAAGGTACACTATATAAGAGGAAAAATAAAGTAGAAGAGATTTATAACAACTTGCATCAATCAATACTTCTTGCTATACATTTTCCTTGTTAATAATCATAGACACATTTGCTAACAACTAACTAATCGGTCGGTCGGTTTTCGACACAGAACTTTGCACATATGTGCAGCAGTTCAAGTCGCCATACTCCATGTAGCACACAAAGGAAGAGAAGAAAGTAGGAGAAATGCATATTAGAGACAGTAAACAGAGGTGTGAGACAAAGGTATAGTAATAACGAAGAACAAAACAGTTTCATTGGAAATCATAAGTCACAAGGAGTGGATGCATCTGCGCCACTGAGAACAATGAGTTTGAGCCATATCACCAATTGTTTCCAACCATTGGTTTTTACCATCCCGAAGACCCCAACCAGTCTGGAAGTTTACACCTTCCTACGTGGCTTAGACTAACTGTTGTAGATTTCATTGACTGGTGCCATGTTTTCATTTGACCACCGCTAGCTCTTTTCCAGCCTGACCCTATATCAGCTAACATTGCCCATTGTCGAGGAAGGCGATGACTAGGTGGGCATACGTAACACATGTCCTAACCATCTCAGTCGATGTAGCTTCACAGCCTCGTCTATTGATTTCCCCTCCATCTCACCTAACACTCGACGCCTAACCTCAATATTGCTCACCTTATGATACCACTTCACGCGGGAGATAGAACGCAGACACCTATGATCAAAGACAGCTAATCTTTTCATGTCTTCCGCTCTCAATGACCAGGTCTCACAGCCATAAAGGAGGACGGAGCGGACTGTTGAGCAGTACACACGCCGTTTGGTCGATAGCCAGTTGGATATCACGTCTACGCCAGAGACGGTGCAAACTGGCATATGCGAAACTAGCCCTCTGTATTCGTACTGAGATTTCGTCAGAGATCAACCCATTGGGGCTGATGGTACTTCCCAAATAAGTGAAGCGGTCAACGTGCTCTACCACAACTAACTTATAATAGACGGAGATACATAAATAGGAAACTATGCATTAATGGTTATGAGTCTAACTTATCACAATCACAATACAGGCTGCTTAGAAATACTTCTCTCCTCGAAACAGTAACAGTAAAAGAGGAAATGCATGCATAATAAATTGTTACTTAAGACACAAGTGAAACTCCATCTGGTGTAAGACAGTTCTTTCACTTGCTACATTAGTTAGTATCTGGAAAAACGCCATCTCAGATAACGCTGCCTACTTTTGAAATCACCAAAACAATTTTCAATTAATTCTCATCAGTTAAACTGACAAAATTGTACGTCAATTTAAAAAAAGACAGCAAAGACGATTGAGTAAAATAGATATGATAAACACAAAGCGAAATCAGGAGTTCCATCGAATGTTGAAGTAAAATAGAAGTAACTTCACCGATACGTATTAAGTACAACTACTAGCAGTTGTCACACATGACTATACAGGAGAGAACATATCGCGAGTATCTTTAGTGAGGAGAAGTTTGGAAGTCACTTCCAGAGGAGTGTAGCATTTCTACCTTCTGACTGACTAGTTTCAATGTAGAACTTCATACAGATGTGCAGCACTTCGAGTTGTCACACCCCATGTAGCACACAAAGCAAGAGAAGAGAGCTAACAAAGATTCAAAACAGAGATAATAAACAGAGATTCGAGGGAAAAGAATAGTAATATGGGAGGACAATAGAGTTCTATTGGATCTGACATATCACAAAGAATGAATGGATCTGCATCAGCCATCGAGAACGATTTTGAGCTATATCACCAATTGTCTCCAGCCATTTGTTTCTACCATCCCTACCTGAACCCTATCTAAATCAGTAAAAGGGTGAATGGCAGAAGTTATAGTACCATCTAGTGAACTAATGAACAAGAGAAAGTGCTCTAATGGTATTCATTCTACAGAAGATTCCTATCACTTATAGTTGGTTGCAAATATGCTCAGAATTTTGATGTCTGGATAACCCATACAAACTGCCTTCAAGCATGATTGATTTTAGCACCTCTGAACTCTGGCAATACCGAAAATATATGGTCGTCACTCCAAATAAAGTAGATGAATATGATGACCTATTCGCTGCTGTTTGCTATAAACATTGTTCCAGTGCCTGTTAAGTGTCTATGATTACAGAATAACCCAAACAAAAATACTGGGGAGAGTTTTGAGGTTTTTAGGGAAACTTTGGGGCAACTTCCCAAGCTTACAATAATTCTACACTAATTCTAACCTATGCGTCGATAATGCCTTTTTATGGTAAATGAATATTTTACCTGCCTGTCTGTCTGTTTTCGACATAGAACTTTGCACCGATGTGCGGCAGTTCAAGTCGCCACACTCCGTGTAGCACACAAAGCAAAAGAAGAAATACATAATATAGACAGTAAACAGAGGTATGAGACAAAGGAATAGTAATAACGAAGAACAGTATGGTTTCATTGGAATATTTCACCTACCTAAAATGAACCTACTATCTACTGAAATAACACTGGTTGTTCTTAAAAACACCACTGGAAGCTTAGTTAACGCGGCGAAACCTCAAAAATAGGATATTCAGCTGAAATAATGCCTTTAGTGTCTAAATAAAGCTGAAAAATTGCCAATATGCGCCAATATGAGTTGTCTTTTTGTTCTGAAGTAACCCCAGTCAGTGCTGAATCTGGGCTGAAATACGCTGATTAACAAACCCAGCAGGTTCTCAGATACTTATGAAAATGCCTAGAAAAAGCTCGTGGTACTGAATTAATGCCAGTCATGCTGAAAACTAGCACACTGAGTTCTAGTCCGTGCGCATAATAAAACCATTTCAGAACAATTTCATAATTTACTCATTATAGACTGTTACAGTTATTTCAGAATTAGCGAGATATAATTCAGCATTATAGCAAACTTCGGTTGAGATTTGAGATTTATTGGTTGAGGATAGAAGGCTTGAAGCCTATGTTAACCTTTTCCCAGTAAATTTCTGTGCTTGTCCATACCCTTCTTGAATGAACCAGTTGAGGTTGCAGACACCACTTCTTCTGAGAGTCGGTTCCCGGAGTTTATAACTCGGTGTGAGAACCAGCACCCCACAGCAATATGGTTTCTTCTCCGCTTTCGAAATCTCCTGCTATGTCTTTCAAGGTGATCCTACCTGGTGGGAAGGAAAAGAGAGAATGGGTCAGGTCCGTTGTCATTATTTGAAATTTTAAACAATAATTAAATCTCCTCTCTGTTTACGGTATGATAGGGAGAAGAGATTTAAACTGTTTAGTCTTTCCTCGTGTGATAAATTAGTCGTGTCGAGAATCATGTGTTGCCTTCCTTTGAACCTTTTCTAGAGTATGTGAGTCCTCTTTAAGACAAGGACTGGCTGCCTGTATACAGTTTTCCAGTCTTGACATGTATATAAGTAGATGAACAAATCTCTGATGATTCTAGTAAAGGCTCTGCGAATTGCCCATAATGATCTGAGACTATGTGCAGCCACCGCGCGGTAGTGTGCTGTAGTTTTTAAATCGTGACTTAGTATGACACCTAAATCCAAACGCGTCTTAACGGATGGGAGTGTAATTCCCTTTAGTTCGTACGAACTGATGCTTACATTTCCAGTGGTTGCGCATTTCACTACGCTTATCAGAAGCATCCATCCTTTGAACCACTCTGACAATTTGTTGAGGTCATGCAACGTGAGAGTATCACTGTCGCCCTTCAGCACTCTCCAAATTTTCAAGTCATCTGCATACAGGGCCATAGGGGAAACGGTGAGCAGAGATAACTCACTGGTATACAAAATAAATAGGAGAGGTCCGCGTATCGTGCCTTGTGGCACTCCGCTACGCACTGCTGTCCAAGAGGAGAGTCTCGAGTTAGTCCTAACCCTCTGCCTCCTATATATGAGGAATTCCCTGAGCCAGTTTAGTAATCTGCCTTTGATGCCAAGACTTTCCAACTTCATGAGCAGTCTTTTGTGAGGTACTTTATCAAAGGCTTTGCTGAAGTCTATGAAGACGACGTCAACGGGTCTTCTGTTGTCCCTTGATTTTACTCAGCTTTCTCTTACAGTGAGGAGATTTGACAGGCATGAGAGGTTTCTTCGGAAGCCCTGCTGTGCTCTGGATAACATTTTGTTGTTTTCCAGATATGCCATGATGCTTTCCTTGATGATTCTTTCCAGTGTCTTGATTAAAGCGCTGGTGAGACTAATAGGTTTGTAATCTGAAGGGCTTTGTCTTGATCCTCCTTTGTGGATGGGGTTACTATGGCGTCTTTCCAGTCACGCGGTAACACTCCATTTAGGAGAGAGAGGGCTTGAAGATCGTGGTCAAAGGGCCGGCTATGCGAGCTGATAGCTCCTTGAGAAGCCTTGGATGAAGATTATCAGGACCCATGGATTTCCCTGCATCTAGTTTCATTAGGCAGTTGAGCACGATGCCTTGGTCGATGTCAACGGAATCTATTCCGTATGCCTCTGATGCAGTCAGAGCTGATCCTATAGGGAGTGATGACTCCTGCATAAAGACTTGGAAGAAGTAGTCTACCATTGCTTCTGCTTTTCCTTGATCTTCGATTGTGTCATTGTCAATAGTCAGGCTTGGGACACCAGTGGATGTCTTATTCCCGGAGCTCATGTACGAGAAAAACCTTAAGTTGTGCCGTTGCATTCTAAGCCAGATGTGCCTCGAAGTTCACCCTTGATTGGCTGACTTCTGTCATGGCCTTGTCCCTAGCGGTGTTGTATAATTTTCTGGTCTCAGGAGTCTCAAGTGTGGCGAACAGGTTTCAGAATTTGTGTTTACGTCTGAGTAGTTTACAGATCTTTCGGTTTATCCAAGGGGGCAATGTTTCCGACCCTCTGGGACAGACCAAGAGATGAAAATGGGTTAATGTAGAAATTTTGGGGAAAAAAGGACACTTCGCCCCCCCCCCCAAAAAAAGAAAACCCTATTTTTCCCTAAATCCTCCCTGAAACTGCCAACCCCATAAGTCCGCCCTGAAATCTCCCTTAAATACTCTAAAACCACTAAATTGCCCCTGAATGTTTTATTTGGGAATATGAAGATAACTTAAGACACCAACATTTAGAACAATTTGCATTACTAAAGCTGGCATATATATGAAGGTTCTGATAGAAATTACGAAAAAATACGGATTCTTACTTCCATTTAGAACACACTATAGTAAGTGCGGACAAAATCAATTATGATACTGTTCCGCGGCTTCCTCAACCATGGCGGTAAACAAGTGTCCAATATCCAATATCGTTTTTAAGAGCTAGTATAAACCAATTTGGTTTCTTTGTGCTCGCTTCTTGATTGCTGGGTAAAGGTTCCTTGTCTTCGGCAAACTTTTGCGTAGTTCGTCCTGCCAATCGACTGTCGTAGCTCTGGTTGACTCCAAAAGGAGTAGTGCTGAGATTAATTATATGCGGTTTGTATTAGTGTATTGAATGGCTTACGTGACTAAACACTTAGTTTCAGCCACATAAGCTTTGTAATACAGTGGGGCTATCACTCAATGTTGAGTGCCATTCAGCAGTAGAACATACTCGTGAGCTGAATGGTATACGAGCTTGCCTTGTAACCGGAAGGTCCTGGGTTCGAATCCCAGTGGGTGCGTACTGCCGATGATTCCCAAACTAGGATGAAACAGCAGCTGTCCAGTACTCCTTGGTTTTCAATGGTTCTCTAGCTGATATCAGTCCGTGATCAACTCGTAAAACATAACTAATCCTTACAAACCAAACTATAGATAATTATTCTGATGCTCGCTAGTGACTTGCTACAGGTTGGATCTTCCTGCAGTTCTAGTGAGAAGTCGTGACCAGTGAGGTCCAATTAGAAGTCACGAGTGGATGGATTTCCACCAACGACAATAGTTGGGGTGGCGCTAAAATCACGAATTGGTAGAAGTTAGAATTCATGAGCCATTGAATCGGGTCCCAGTGGCTGAATGGTATACGAGCTTGCCTTGTAACCGGAAGGTCCTGGGTTCGAATCCCAGTGGGTGCGTACTGCCGATGATTCCCAAACTAGGATGAAACAGCAGCTGTCCAGTACTCCTTGGTTTTCAATGGTTCTCTAGCTGATATCAGTCCGTGATCAACTCGTAAAACATAACTAATCCTTACAAACCAAACTATAGATAATACTCGTGAGCACTTTCTAAAAAGTAGGGAGGGTGGCGCATGCTGATCAGCAGATATGGTAGTGGTCACAAATGTGAATCGCTCCGATCTGTAGGACAGCAACATGCAATATTTTGGCAGCTCGATAACTAAACATGAGTTTAGATACTAAGAGTATAAAAAAATTGACTTTATAAAAAAAATTTAAAAAAACAAACTAAAACAATAATGACTGTACAGTTTTAGCTTGTAAAAAAAATAATACTTTCGCTCCTAACATCTACAAGCCTGCTCAGTTTCTTGTCAAGATGCTATCCCATGGGCCATACACAAGTTCGCCAGACATCCTTCAGGTCACCATATTCAACAGGTTCTAATCCTTCTAGCCACTTCTCTCTAAAATGTCACTTATATACTTCACGATAATCCTTCTACCTAATTACTATTATACGGCTGAAATTATCCCGCATGCTCAAGGTCATTGATGGAGTGAGACGCTCAAAGGTCATTTTCGTCTATGTTAGTCGGTTATGTTGGATTGCAGTTCCGTACCCGTTCGTTTACACATTGGTTTTACGTTCTGTTGGCATTTATAGGTGATTCCCATGTACCGATAGCATTCTTTTGTAAAATAGTACTGTTCTTCACACGAAAATAGCCACATTTTGACGTAGTCTTCATTGAATGACACTATGTCGAAAGCTGCAGCTTCTACAAGAAATAAACTATTTGTGTAGATGACATTACCCCCCAACTACCCCATCTTCTTCATTGTAGGGATGTTTTGACGCATTCAGCATGAAACACTAATCATTACAACCAATATGCTAAGTGTGTCGCAGTCAGATTAGATGACGCGGACACCAACATAACTAGCCAGGAAATGAGAATTCCTATCAATCCAGAAAACATATAACAAAATTTTATTAAAAATTATTGACAAAAAAAATTTGCCGAGCGAAATTTCAACCAACATGCCGGATAAGTCCAGCCCTATTATACTCTATTTTATCTCAACTTCCTAGGCCTTTAGTAAAGCTGAAATTTACTCTTTTGTTTTTCTTTTTCTCATTCACACTCTTCTCTCGCATAAAGTTCGATTGCTCTGATGGTAAAAAAAATAACATAACAACAGCGCTAATGTTTGAGAATAACTTTATTTTCATAGAAAAAGTCATAGTTTTCTACGGTAAGACCAATGCATCATACATTGCAAATGTGCACTATCATATCAAGTACTGTATAGCTTATTCTTGTATTTTTCTTGTAAATATACTTTCAATAATGTATTATCCATGATTGCATTTTATACCACTTTGTAGCTGTGAAGGATTTTCTCCTCTTCCTGAAATAGCGTTCAAGCACGTGGCTGTCGCTCAACTTCGATGGAAACCTTCGTGGAAGATGTACAAATTAACAATTATAAGAATCTGTTCCGATTGCTTGTACTATATAATTCAACAATTTGAACTTTAAAAAAAAGTGATAATCTTACTATCCCTTGTAAACGTTGTACTTACCTCAATATTGGTCGGCTATCATATGCCTACAACTACGGGTTGAAAACGAAACGAAGTAGATTTTCCTGCACAACCTGGAGGACTACTGTTTAATTCAATAATGATACCACATGGGTCAGACAATGAGTGTATTTATATATATATATCAAACATTTAGCTGTTCAAACGTAAGTAACTTGTAGACAATCTACTATTTGTCATTATATCATACTTGATCGTGCCTGCAAAAATGACATGCATTTTCATGTAAATTTATTTTTATATGAAAATATAAAGTAAATTAAATTAAGATTGCACAAAGCGTACGTTATACGACACCTTGAAGTACATAATATCATTGCACACCCACTGCTTAGAAGGGACGCAAACCTCTTGGAAAGAGTCCAAAGACAAGAGATAAAAGGAGTGGTTGGTCTCCAAATTAAACCGTGTGATGAAAGGCTAAGGAAATTAGGCCTATTCACACTTAGCTACCGTCAGTTTAGGGGGGATTTGACTGATGCTTAAAAGGTAACAAATGACCAGAATCACCCAAACAAAGGTGTTCTGCCATTGAGTAGGTATAGGCTCCCTCATTTAAATTCCAGAAGGATAGCTCACCAGAGGGCAAGGAGTCGGGTGCGCTCCCACTTCTTTTCACTGCAGGTTTGCCGTCCCTGGAATTCCTTACCGGTAGATGTAGCTACGGCACCGTCTGTGGAGGCCTTTACACTAAGGCTGGACAATTATGCAGCAACACAAGTACTGCGTATAAATGGCCTATCCCCTTAAAATCCCATACACCATTCAGGGGTAGACAACTAAATTCGTCGTTTTACTTCTTTACATTCTCTTCCGTCTTACTCTTCTGACAACTTTAACTACACCTATTATTATTATCATTATTATCGATATATATATTATTCATATTATTCCTCAAATTTAATAAGCTAACTGTTGCTACGTTATTTTATTTCTTTTTCTGTCTGTTAGTTTCAATAACTTCACTAATTATATCTGTTATTATTATCTCTTTTGTTTTGACGACGATACCGGAGGAGTAACTGCTGAAAGGATCAACTCCCTACACAGTAGCAACAGTCTTACCACACCTCATACTACAAACCACATATAATTAATCTCAGCACTACTCCTTTTGGAGTCAACCAGAGCTACGACAGTCGATTGGCAGGACGAACTACGCAAAAGTTTGCCGAAGACAAGGGACCTTTACCCAGCAATCAAGAAGCGAGCACAAAGAAACCAAATTGGCTTATACTAGCTCTTAAAAACGACATTGGATATTGGACACTTGTTTACCGCCATGGTTGAGGAAGCCGCGGAACAGTATCATGGTATAGGATAGAGGCACAAATCAGCTGATTGCCGCAGTTTTAAGGTGTTATCGTGGTGTTGTGTTTGGGCTATTCTACGTCGTTTTTAGTGGTTTTCTCAATAGAAATGCATTTTAAAAAATCGTATTTTAGCGAAAAAACGTGTAAAATGTGAGAAAAATGGTCGTTTTCAGTGTGTTGACAACATGCTGTGTTTTCATGGAATTGACTTGCTGAGGTGCATAAGAAATGTCAGAATTCGTTGGAAAATGTGAATTATGATAGAAAATGCTAAATAATTCCAATTTTTGTGGTGTATTTTACGTAAATGATGAGGAGGTGTTTAAATATCGAGGTAATTATGATTTCATGTTCTTTACCAAATCTCACAGTAATAAAGGAAACTGAGTTGGTTATTTCGTCAGATAACTGTGAAGAGACAGTCATTTAACTGGTAGATACTATGTTTTAAGTTATTTATTTAACTCATCATTTTCTCACCAGATTTTTATCATTTTTAATTTCCAGATTATGGTCTTTACTTCCTCAATCACTCAATACATTTAGACATTCTAATGGGACTATAAAGGATAATATTTGTGTAAATGATGAAATATTTGTGATATTACGAATGTATTTATCGAAATAAATATTATTTTTTAAATTCTTCACTCCATTCATACACTATTAATACTTACTGTTTGTCGAATCGCGAAGTGATGCCAGTGTAGAAGACGTACTATTCGTAAAATGTCATATTAATGTGGTTGAATTTGGCCATGATGGGGTACTGTTATTGCTTTTGAGTAACTGCTTTCGCTAGGAAACCTTAAACAGGCGATATGCATAACAAAAGCCTATCTGATGAGTTATGATAACAAAATAATCAATGAAGTTTAGTGACGTAGTCAACTAATGCACGAGTCTAAGCGTTGATGTGATCATGTAAGAGCTTATTGATACTAAATGATAACACAAGAAGAGTAATTTAGTTATCTCTTTATTACCTAACGATTTCCTTTGAGATAGTGGTGTTAAACGCAACATAAGAATAACAGACTATTTGTGATAAATAGGATGTGCGTTGCAGACTGTACTTGAAGTGCCTAGACTACCAATACAAGTCGTGTACGTATACAACCTACTTTTGCTAGGTTATATTTCGTTATCACAGTACGGACATATGTTTGACGGCCACTTTCTTAACAATCGTGAATACTAATATTATACGCAACCGGACTAAGCGTAACTGAAATACTTCACGCAAGGCTTGGTGACGCTTGGT